GCACCATCCTCAACAACAACATCATCAGCATCATCATAAACATCGTATTAATCCTCATCAGCGACAACATAATAACCATCAACATCAGCATCAACATCAGCATCAGTAGCATCACCATCATCATCATCATCATCATCAGCATCATCAGCATCATCATCGTCATAATCCTCATCAGCAGCATCCCCATCATAAGCACCATCATCATCCTTATCATCATCATCATCATCATCATCATCATCATCATCATCATCATCATCATCGTCACCAGTATCAGCATCATCGTCATCATCGACATCGTGATCATCAGCAGCGTCATCGTCACCATCACCATCCTCGTCATTGTCATCACCTTCGCATCATCATCATCAGCATCATCAGTATCGCCGTCATCGTGATTGTCAGCATCATCGTCATCATCATCAGCATCATCATGATCATCATCATCATCATCATCATCATCATCATCATCATCTGCATCATCACCATTATCATCATTATCAGCATCGCCATCATCATCATACGTATCATCATCAGTTCCAGCATCATCACCACCAAGAACATCACGTGTCGACATCATCATCCTCATCATCATCATCAGCATCATCATCGTCGTCACTGTTACCATCATTCTCAGGATCAGCACCATCAGCATTATCAGACTTACCGTCAGCATCGTCATCACCAGCACCATCAGCAGCATCATCATCATCATCATCATCATCATCATCACCAGTATCATCTGCAATATCATCATCATCAGCAGCATTATCGTCACCCGTTTCCTCCTCCTCCTCCTCTTCGTCCGCGCTTCTTACCTCCACCCCTCTACCAGGTCTGGGCCGGTGCGTAGCGAGAGCGTGTACGACAGCAGTCCAAATTGTTCAATGTGTTGCAGTAGTCTCGAGCAAAGCAGCTGCTGCCCTCTGCGGTAGCAGGAGTCAAGAAACCTTCCCTCCTCCCCCTCTCCTCATCCTCCTCCCAGTGTCTTTCCTTTCTCTTGCTCTCTCTCTCTCTCTCTCACTCTTTCGCGCGACGCGTCGCAGCCGAGGAGCGCCATACCTAGAACTAAAATCCGCCGCCTGCTCCTCCTCCTTCTCCTCCTCCGCCTCCTCATCCTCATCCTTCCCTTTCTCTTGCACCGTACTGCGCACTAGACCTCCTCCTCCTCATCATCATCCTCCTCCCTGGCCCTCTCGAACAGGACCTCCTCATCCTCACCCTCCCTCGCCCCCCTCCCCCTGCGCGAGCACCCCCAACAGTCGTCGTGCCCCCTAGACCCCCCCCTCCCCCGCCCTCCTACGCCGCCCGCGCCTCCTTGACCGCCCGCCTCCCCTGACCCCTCCTCCTTCCCTCCCCCCACCGTTCACCGCCCCCTCCCCCCTTCCTCCTCCCCCTCCCCCTTCCCCCCCTCCCCCTTTCCCCCTCCTCCTCCCGCTCGCCCTTGGCCCCCGCCTCCCGCTGCGTTTCCCCCTCCGCGACGAGCCCCAGCACCCCGTAGCGCGCCCGTAGGACTGGCAGTAACGCCCTCGCCAACTGTCGCCGCGCGGTGAAGAGAGGGCTCCCTCGCCCGCCCGGGGCGCGCGTGGCTGGGGCGGTTGTTGTGTTGGCTCGGCGGTCTGTTTCTTGGCGTTTGTGTCTGGGGGGCCTGACAATAACCCCAGGGGCGGGGCGCCTTTGGGAGGCCGCTTGTTGGTTAGCACCTCCTCCTCCCCCCCACCCCCACCAACCCTCCGACCCAGCCCCACACGCCCGCCCGTCCCGCAGCCGCCCGCAGCAGCCTCCGCCCGCCGCCGCCGCACCGCCCCGCCGGCAGCCAAGCAGCCGCCCTGCACCGCCTCCGACTCGTCCGGCAGCACCCCCCGCCGTCAGCCGCCTCGCCTCCTCCGACCGCCTCCGCTCGCCTTCTCCTCACGAAGGAGCCCCCTCCTCCTGCCTCCGCCGCCTCCGCGCCTCCGCCGCGCCTCCGTCCGTCCGCCGCCCTCCTCCTCCGCCTCCTCCCGCCTCCTCCTCCTCCGCCTACCCCCCCTCCGCTCCCCTCCTCCCGCCTCTCCTCCTCCCTCCTCCTCCTCCTCCTCCTCCTCCTCCTCCTCCTCCTCCTCCTCCTCCTCCTCCGCCTTTGGCGCCTGTGCAGAGCGGCTTTTTTAGCACCAAGAAACGCCCGAGCGCCCCGCCACCTCGTCTCGCTGCGGAGGCGTCACGACGCAGGGTTCTGGGCCGTCGTTTCGGCCTCCGCGGTCCCACGCCGGGCCCTGGGACTGTCAAGAACGGCTCGGGATGAGGAAGCGATCCTGGGGAAGGGGCTTGGACCTCTGGTCCGCCAGAAACACATGACGCGTCCGGCCTGGGCAAGTGTTGGAGACACTCGTGGCCACAGGTCTTTCCAGCGCTCGGCCTTTCTATGGTCGGGCGGAGCTGGGACGAGGAAGGATCCGTCCCAGAGCATTCCAGAACGCTCTTGGAGCGTTCCGGAACGCTCTGAGAAGACCGCGGCGCCCGAGACATCTTGCAGAGCCGCGGGATCTCAGAGATTCACTTGGAATCGCTCGGACGTGTGCTCTTTTTCTCGGCGGAGATTATGAAGGAGTATCCTGGATCATCCTGCGAAGAAAACCACGCACGACACCGAACAAAAACACAGGGAATGGACGTCCGAGGGATAGCCAGTGGCCGTGCAGGCCAGGCACCGCGGCATCGGAGGCCGATGTCCTGAGCGTGTTCGGCAGCCATCTGCCCCGGGGGGCGACAGGAGCGACCCCCTCGCCGAGCCTGGCAGGGCCGGTCCTGGGCCCGGGATCGGTGTCACGCCGCCCCAGCCAGGGCAGGGAGGCGCGAGTGCACCGATCCGGGCTTCGCCTGGCCCGGGCAGGCAGGCGTACACATTAACTCGGGGGCGGCCAAGGAGGGGGGGGTTATGACTAGGGGGTGGGTGGGCATTATGGCGTGGGCCATGATAGTTCTCCAGATTTCATGGCGCCTCTTCTTATTCCATTACGTCCCTGCCCCCCCCCGGGGCCGCGCACATGCCGCCGGCCATGATTTGCGCCCCCCCTCTTGGACGCCCCCCTCTTGGCCGCCCCGGATTTCCCAATTTGAAACATATCCCTAGGTCTGTCCCGAAGATTGTCGTCACTTTTGGCTTGCCCATCTCAGGGATAGGGGTCAGTTCGAGGCTGCTCAGCACACCGATCCTGGGCCCAGTATCGGCCTGGCCAGGATCGACTACACATGAGAGTGACCCTTCGCCAGAGTGACATTTGGTGCGGGCCCATCGGGGGTCCCCCGATCGCCGAGCGCGATGCGATCGTGGCGTCTTGCGCGCTGGCGTTTGGGACCCCCGCGGCCCCCCAAAAAGCCACGCATCAAAGGTCAGTCTTACCCAGGGATCACTCTTGCGTGTAGCCGCTCCTCGTCCTGGCTTCGTGTTACTCCGGAGGCTTCGCGAGGCCTCCAGAGGCCCTGCAGGGGCCAAAATCGTTTGAAGGTCTCCCCCCTCGGCTTTCTCGCGAGGGTCGATGGCACAGTTTGGTAACGACGACTACCATTAAGTCGGGCATGTCCCCCTACAGGAGGAATATTCTATATATATATATATATATATATATATATTATATTCAAAACATAGTAATAGGACGACGTTTCTAATAGTGTTTTGAGTATTGTTGAGTAACCCTGTGCGGGCGATACTAAACCCCCTGGGATAATAAAATTCTGGATTCTGGCGGGGATACTGAAAGATTGTCCTGGGGAAGGTAAGTTAGGATGATGATGACGGTGACGATGATGATGATGGTGACGATGATGATGATGATGATGATGATGATGATGATGATGATGATGATGATGATGATGATGATGATGATGTTGCTGATGATGATGATGATGATGACGATGATGATGATGATGATGATGATGATGAGGATGATGAGGAGGAGGAGGAGGATGATGATGATGCTGATGATGATGATGATGATGATGATGATGATGATGATGATGATGATGATGGTGATCCTGGGCGCTCGGCACAAGGCTCACTAGAGAGGTCTCGAGGCTCGTGACTAACCAGGCGCACGACACAAGGCTGACTCGAGAGATCTCGAGGCTCGTGGCTGCTCGAAAACGCATGCGCAATCAAAATCCAATCGGTCCCTATGTCCCTGCCACACGTTCCTGACTCGGGAACGGCTAAGAAAATGATAATCCCATGGCCCTGCCGCACGCTCGTAACGTGGGCAAACTGAACTGGTGAGAATCCCACAGCCCTGCCACACGCTCGTGATTGCGGAAGCTGGTGTGTTGAGACCACCATGGCCATGCTCAGCGTTTTGATGCTCTTGCTAGTCAACATGAAATGATAGCAACTTCGATTCGCAACTTTCCCGTGGATTTCGGCCGCCGCGCCCCTCTTCACAATTAAATCCTGTTGGACGGGGATAAAAATAGAGGGGGTAAAGGGGGGGTACTGTCGCCCGCGCGCGGTTAGCATGTTTTGCATGTTTTCGTTATTCTTCCAAATCCGCTCGCAGGAAGACATGCCCTCCCTCAGACTACCAGGAGCCAGTCGTGCTCAGCAAGGTTGGCCTCGGTGACGGTCGGGCCGAGGTACAGTCAAGACGTTGAGATGAGGACCGCTTTGCAGGAGGGGCTACATGGTTCGGGTGGCTTCTTCGACTCCTGCCAGGGAATGTGTTTGTGATCGAGGCTCGCCGTGGCGAGAAAAGCACCTTCGTTCATTATCGTGCGTTCCTTATGCTAGCACGCCGACCGTATGAGATCGAGGTCGGTTGGGGGAGGGTAACCTCACGTTTTTCGTGTTTGTTGGAAGTTCTTGTGCATCCTGGGGAAGGGTACCCTCGAATGTTTGTTCTTCAGTTTGGCCGGCGGCAGGTTTCATGTTTACGAAGGATGTTTTTCGGCCCTGGGCCCGGCCGCACTATCAGGAAACAGTCGCGCTTGGTGCGGTTGGACTCGATTGCGGCAGCCTGCAACCATGGGTCCCAGAGAGGCGCTCGACTCCAAGGAGCGGCTGGCCATCCACGTGGCGATGCAGCACGGAAACTTTCAGACCGCAAAGTTCCTCACCCAGCACTGGAACAGGCCTGAGACCGAACGGCCCGATCCACAATGACACTACGAATACTTCTCTCCTCTGCCCGCCCCCCCCCAAAGATGATAAGAATGTGGCCCGCCCCCCTCCGCGTTTCCGAGAGTTGCTTTGCCGTATGGCGTTTGTGTTACAGTCCGATTGTTTCCGGTGTTTCAAACTGGTGCTCCCGCTGCAGCGTGGGCCTCATTTGCGGATCGGCGCGTCCCTCCCGTCGTTCAGAGTGGCGCACTCGCCCCAGCGGGGGCAACTCTTCTGGATCCGAGTCCGGCCCAACTGTGCTCCCCACTCGTTGCTCCTCCTCCACCGTCCCCTGATCCTCCTGTGCCTCCCGCTCCTTCCACTCCGCTTCCTGCTGCGGCTGTTCGTCTCGCCCCAGCGAAGGCCATTTTCTATCTCCGAGTGGTTCCTTCATCGTTGTCGCCCCCCTCATTTCCCCTCCTCCTTCTTCCCTTGGTCCCCCTGTTCTTCCCTAACCTTCCGCTTAAGTTCCTGCTGCTGCTGTTTGTCGTCCTCATCTTTTTCTCATCCTCCTGCTCACCAGCCTCCTCCTCCTCCTGTGCATGCAGCTCCCCTGGTTTCCGATTGCGCACACCACGAAATTATCTTTGTGTGGGAGCCGCAGGTCGGCTATGACACGCGTCCGCGGA